CAAGGTTTGGCTAAGATGTGTGAGTGGATGGACAGGTGCAATGTCAAGCGGACTACGGCTGAGTCGGGTCAAAAGATTGGTGAGATCAAAGGGCATGCAGGAGGGGTTGTTGTTGTTGTTACATTCTCAAACACAAGGAGGTTCGTCAATTATTTGCAATCTTTGGATGATGTTCTCTTTCTCCATTCAAACAATTTACTAACTTAGTCTTCTTGTTCTTGTGTCAACAGGAATACAGATTCACCAGAGCGAACGAGAGCCTCACTAATTGGTGTTTACAATAAGTGAAGTCTTACGTGCGTTTTTGGAGGCAGATCGATGTATAAAACAAGCATTCTGTTCTTCTTTTCTTATACAAGTGGGAATACATCACTTTCTTCATTCTGGTGTGTTGTCAAAGTCTTTTCCTATCCGACATTTATCATTTATGTGTATCAGAAGAGGCAACAAGAGTTGATTTGGTGAGAAAGAAAGGAGGATCAAAGGAACTGTATTTTCTTTCTCTTTGTATTGACAAGATAAGATAAACCACATTCTGGATCATTCATTCTTAAGGTTTGTGACAAATCTGCAAGTAGTAGCTTGGAAGGTGACTAAGCCAGGAATTGACTCAAATTGTGAACTAGGAATTGGATATCAAGTCCTTGTACTAGTGACTAGTGAGGTACAAGAGTTCACCAACCAAGGCTCTAGATGCATAAGCATCTTCAAGAATGTCTTTACTGGTGTGTAATTTGGTTGGCAACCTAATAAACTAGCTAGTGTAATCAATTGACAAATTAAAATGTCTCTTTGGGGAAATGAGCATAAGGTAATGTCACATTTATTATATCACATAGACAGGTCGGATTGGAACAAGCATGAGGGTTGTTGGGCCAAAGTGTACATGTCCTACACCAGATTCTTTGAGGTTTTGTGTGCTAGCTGTTTCGCGTAGCTTTCATAGCTCAGTTGGTTAGAGCACCCGTTTAGTAAGCGGGAGGTCTTGAGTTCAACTCTCAATGAAAGCATCGTTTTAATAGTGGTATTATTACTTTTTTGTATTTGAAGGCTTTTCTTTTGATGTTTTATCTTTAATTGGGCCTACGATGTTAAGAACGGGCTTACTGGGCTGGGCAATGGAATTAGGGTTTCGGTCGTAGACAGTTGTTATATAAACAGTGCTACGCAGATTGCCAAGTTTAGTCATCATCATCTCTCTTCTGATCCAATTTCGATTCCTTGTTTGCAATTCGAGTTCTCTCTCTCTCTCTTTTTAATTGTTATTTTGGTCGTGACGCGATTTTCTCTCCAAGAAATCGATTACTTAGTGAGGGGCAATCTGAAATTGTGATTGCAAAACCCTAAAAGTAAACGTCACAAATTAAAGAAAAACGGCGGCGGAAGACGTAGAAGGAGCCTTCTGGTTTCTCCGTCGGAAGCATCGCCGGAGGGTCTCATATTCCATTGCCTTGCGGAGCGGCGTCGCTGCTTTTACCGTTTGGGATCGGCCATGACACGTATATTTCTCTTTTAGATTTTACTTAGCCATTGAAAGGATTTCTTTATCTGTTTGTCAAAAATCGTAGGCAGTGATGAGTTAGTCATGCACCACTCTGATATACTGTGCTGAGATTTGTCTCTACCCATTATTTCTCTGAGCCACATTTTTCTATGGTTGATGTTGATGGAGATGGTCTTTGCTCTAAACTGCTGAATCTAAAGACAAAGTCATACATGTATACGAGCGTTTGTATTTTGACAATTAGCATGAAGAAGGGATTAATAAACATATAATCTACTCAATAAGCTATCCCCTGAAATTAAAACCTGAATAATAAAGTTCTTGCACTCTAAAGCACTGTGTTTCCGATCAGATCCTGTAACAATTACAGAGTCAGGAGTTATGAAACATTATTATATGCATAAGCATCTTCAAGAATTAATGATTTGTTCGCAACTTGATCATGAAGAAAATTCTAATAAAATTTCCACCGACTAACAAAAACTGTTTAAAGGAGGCTAACCATGTAGAATGTGAAATGACTTGTTCATAATTCATTCGGCAGAGAAAATCACATGGTTTGTCTGGGAACTTGTCTCTAACAAGTAGAATTAATGTCATGAAGTTTAGTCCAGTTCCAATGATGAGTCTTCGAGTATGCTAATGGATTGTACATAGAAAGAACGATACACGTTCATTGAGAGTGCACATTTGTGGAGAAAAACATAATTGTAAAATTCAAAGGATTTTTAATGATACCTTGTTTTGTGTCTGAAATTTTTAATGGAACCATATTTGGTAATAGCAAGGTCTGCATCATTCGATAACGCATATATACCAGAGATTGGATTGGAACAAGCATGAGCCAAAGTGTATATATAAACGAGTCTACACAAAAGACACTATACAAAACAAGTATATATATTATTACTGCTGATGACATGATTGGTGTTGCCAATTTACCCTATAATCGGTTGCTATCATATGCAAATACTCGTTATATTTTCAATGTAACAAAAACTTAACATTGCGTTTCTATTTACACTCTAAAAGAATTTGAGTTCCGTTCTCACTATCTGCCCAACATTGATACTTAATGCACATGTTTCACCTAAGCCCTTAGTGCTCCCAACTTGCTCTGCTTTATAGAGCCATCCAAGCCAAACAACAACAGATTTGCCAAAGCATGTTTACCTGATTATTTCCACAGCTAATTAATTGCAAGTCACAGTGATCAAATAATCTTATCAAATAGGACAGCTTGCGTCTATGTCAACATCTAGAGAGCAGTCAAGATCCATTAACACTGAAGTCATCTCATCCACCTTCTTGTATATCTTTCCAGAGAGTTTGTGAGACTTATCATCCTTCATGAATATATGAACTTCCCCTTGCAATTCGATCCAGCTATACCCGGGATCTTTTTTCACTCCTGCACTCTCCATTTTCTTCCTTACCTCTGATGCAGCATCCAAGAATCCACAACTGGCGTACCCGTTGGCAAACACCACGTAACTACCCCCGTTCTTTGGTTCCAGCTCGAAATATCTTGTAGCTGCGAGTTCTAGCAGTTTCACATTCCCATGATTCTTGCATGCCCCAAGTAAAGAACCCCATACCGGAGCATGCTCCTTGCACGGTGACTTGATTGCAAAATCGTACGCTTCTTGTAGCCTACCAGCACGCCCTAACATGTCAACCATTGCTGCATAGTGTTGCCCCTCAGGCTGGATCCCGTAATCTCTCTTCATAGAATTGAAATGCTCCCGGCCTTCATCAACCAAACCTCCATGGCTACACGCAGTGAGAACCACCAAAAACGTAACAGAATTTGGTCTACATCCTTGTTCCTTCATCTTATCAAAGCATTTTAACACCTCTGAAACTTTTCCATGACACCCATAGCCAGACATCAGCGAGGTCCACGTGATCACGTTTCTGGTGGACAGTTGATCGAATACCTTGTGCCCGTCAGAGAGACTGCTGCATTTGAAGTACATATCAACAAGAGCACTATTGACGATAATGTTAGACTTATTACGGCACTTTATCATGACAGCGTGTGCTCTCATTCCGTGCTCCAGCGACGCCAACGCAGAACACGCTCTAAACACAGAAGCAAAGGTATACTGATCCGGAACTAGACTGTGTTGCCTCATGTCATAATACATGTAAAGCCCTTGTTGCTCAAGACCCTTTTGCACATAACCAGCTATCATTGCGTTCCAAGGGATCAAATCTCTCAATTCCAAACTAGAAAAGAGAATCCGAGCAGTTTGAAGATCACCTGATAAGGCGTGTAGTATTAACAACTTCACTTTGAGATACTCGTTGGGAGAAAATCCGACGAGAAGCATATGAGCATGTATCCGTTTCCCTCTTGCATATTCCTTCCTTTGTTTGCATTCCTGCAATAACAGAGCGTATGTCTCAGGCTCGGCTTGCGACTTGCTACGACATAGTAACCCAACAGCTTCTTTCAATCTCCCTGTAATACACAGACCCTTCAATGTCTTATCGAGCTGCTCTTTCTTTCTCAGATGATCCACCTGAAAGCTACAACATTTCACAGCTGAGCCAGAGTATGAGCTCGAAATTGGACCCATATGCACGTTTGTCCAATCAATTTCAAGCAGAAT